CCCCCGCGCGGGTATGCACGAGGGGCTTCGCCCCTCCTTCAGGGGTGGAATGAGCCTTGGCACGGGAGCCGGCAACCGGGGGGACAGGCCGAGAGACCGCCACGGCGCCAAGCAAGTACCCGGCATAGGCACGTGGTACGCGTGTATGTCTTCTCTCTGTGTAGGTGCTCACGTTCGCGTTCGCTTTCGCATATGTGTGTGTGTGTGTGTGTGTGCGTCAATGCACATACGCTTCAGCTTGCCCTCTAGGTCGTCTGCAAAACCCACCACGGCCGACTCCCGCACACACATACACACAGCCGGAGAACTGGGGGGGATCAGAAAATGCTCACCTCCACGAGCTTGGGCCTGGGCGGGCGAAACGGACGAACGCGCAGCCACACGAGGGCGGACCCGGGGGCGGGGGAATGTGCGCACGCGCAGGGGAGGCATCCAGGCGCTTTGCACCGTCCGGCAGGCCCCCCCCTCCCCCCCCCCCCCGCTCCTCGCCGCCCTGAAAGGCCAAAACAGTGTAGGATTCAAGTTTTAAATCTCCCCAGATGGTCCCGCTTGTCGGCGGACCGGCGTAACGGCAGATGCCAACTAAAGCGAAGGGAAGGCATCAAATTGTCATTGACGCTCCATCATGCCAACGGGGGCTTAGCTCAGTGGTAGAGCACTCGACTCCAGATCGAGCGGTCAGTGGTTCGATCCCTCTAGTCCCCATTTCTCTTTTGGCCTTCGTCGGTCGGGCATGCATTCTTCACTTTTTTTCCCATGTGCCCCCCTCATCCTCTTTTGTCTGGTGTGCCACTTTTTCGCGGGGCTGACAGCTCCCTTCTATATTCCCCCCCCCCCCCCCGGCATCCTCACCCTGTCGGCCTGACTCGGGAGGCCGAGACGCTTGGTTCACAGCAGGGGATCCGGCTCTTCGTCAGGGGCACCCAACAGCAGCGAAGCAGCGCCCTCTGCTGGGTCGGCGGCGAGCCGGGCGAGCAGCGCAAAAGCGCCCAAACCAACATCAGGGCCCGCCCGACCAGGGCCCAAGTGGGGTGGAGGGGGCGGATCCCCTCGGGGAGATGGAGGAGACCGAGGGGGCAAAAGGCAACGGAAGCGAGACGAGGCTCTTGCCGGGGATCAATCTGTTATTCCCTGGACACGGCTTTCTTGGAGCCCGCCGGAGCGCCTCCACAGGGGCAACTCCCTCCCAGCCCCCCCGCCCCCCACCGCAAAGCCATCGCCCTGGTCCCCCCCTGCCCGCAAGCGGCCCACCTCCCTCGGTTCTGGAGTGGGCCCCTCGAAAGCCCCGGACGGTCGGGTCACATGCACATTTCCGCACGCTATGCGTACAAAGACCCGGCCCTCATCGGATCCCGGGCATTTGTGCCACCCCCGGGGGATTTCCCTCCCAACTGTTCCGAGAGCCGGGTTCCCGGGCTCTCAGGGCGGGATTTGGCCCTCAACCGGCCCCGCCGGCCAGCCTGGCGCGAAAAAGGCGGATGGAACGAATCCCGGGGATGCTATTTGACATCTCGCTCACGGCCCCGGCCGGCTGGCCGGGTCCCTAGATGCTAGTGACCTGGGACTGGTCGATCACACATACCCCCCCTCCCCTTCAGGACCAGGAACCCGGGACCCGGAATCCGACTCCAATTAGCCCATCGTCGGCCGGGGCCTCCTCCGCCCGAAGGGACACCTCTCCGGCGGCAGCCGCTGTCCCGCAGTGGCTTCACCCCTCCCGCCTTTTGTCCCGTCCCCCACCCTCATCTTCCTCTCTCTCTCTTTCTCTCCCACTCGGCTTTCTTTTGCCCCCCGTCCTCTCCAGCCCCCCTCGTGCCCCTGGTAGCATTCTCCCCCCTCCCCTGCCCGATGCCGGCCATCTTTCCTCTCCCCTCCTCCTTTTGCCGCATGCGCTAGTTCTTCCGCTACCTGACGGACCTCTGCGTGTCCAGCGGGCAAGCCATTCCCAAGACGCAGAAGCTCATTTGCGAGGCGGTTCTCGGTGATGACAACGCCGACATCCTCATCCACCTGGAGCGCACGCCGCATGGCGTGGAGCTCGCCTGGACCGCGTCGCAGTTTGGCTCGTTGCCAGATGGCGGGTCGCTGGTGGCGGAGTCGCCCTCGGCGGACATGCTGCTGTCGCCACTGACAACGGCGGCCCGCGGCCCGGGCACCTCGGCCGGCACGCCGGCCGGGCACTTCACCTTCGGAAGTGCCACAGGGGCGGTGGCGGCGGCGGCGGCGGCGGCGGCGGCGGCGGTCGCTTCCGGGTCGTCCTCTTCGTTGGCCGGGCCCGGGGGCCCGGCATCCAGCAGTGCCGCAGCCGCGGCCGGTGGCTTGCTGCTCGGGTCGCTGTCGGGCATGGGGGCAGCGGCCGGGGCGGCCGGGGCGGGCCCGGC